TTGTTTTCCAAAGTATGCAATGCGTACATGTCAACTATTGTATAATATTATTGGGTAATGCATGTGAGGAAAACTAAAGAAGCTAATATGAAATGATAAATTTATTGTTTTTATCATTTACTATCATGTTTGTTTGAAAATATTAATGATAAACTTTTCTTTTAAAAAAACTAATTAAATTCTTTATAACTATATATATTAGTTCAATAAACCTTTCTTTATCTAGTCATAATAGAAGGTTGATATTGTCACGCCCCGAGCCTACACCCTGGGCGGGACCGGCACCCGGAGACCATTTCTGGCCCCAAGCGAACCCTTGGCCTGGCTTTCTTAACTCAGCGGAAACCTAACTCAACAGAATAACTCAAACGATGCAATATTACAAAACAACTTAACTTATAAAATATGGCCATAAAGGCAACTCGAATCTCAAAATAGAATATTTACATATATACATAGATAAGAGACTCAAAACTAGCTGACTGACTGTCTATCTGTCTATCTATGAAGCCTCTAAATTACTGAGATGGATGTTGGGACAGACCCCGCACATCCTAATAAGACAACACTAAGAACACGAAGTAATAGAGTCCTCCGGAAAGCAAGGAGGCTCACCACTGACTCTGGAGTGCTCAGCTGGATCAACGACGCACAGGCTGCTGATCTGGGATACCTGGATCTGCATCATGAAACGATGCAGGCCAACTGGCATCAGTACATGGAATGTACGAGTATGCAAGCTGGAAAGCTAAGCAACAACGGCTAGAAGGAAACCTGGGAGAAACTGAATAGCTTACCTGGCTCAACTCAACTCCACCTGACTGACATTCTTTCTATATAAGGCAATTTAAAACAAGTGCGATATAAAGAAAGACTGTTTAAAACATGTTATAAACTCTGTGTATACAAAGATACAATAAGCCTGGAATGTATATAGAAATACAATGAACTGATGTATATAAAAATACAATAATCTCTGAGTATGAAAATACAATAACTGCTGTGGGAGTTTCTCTAACCGACAACCATCACATAAGAGCTATAGTGATGATACAGCGATCGACCTCACGCTGCCAGAGCATCTTATACCCGGCCAAAGGTATAAGACCTGAACTGCCTAATGGATCCACTAGTCTAATCTGAAAAGGATTCATCTAAAAAGTATGATCCTTTTCTACCCATGGTGGCTAACATGGTTCTATGGGGGCTGTGGGTTCTTTGAACGCTCCCCCAACTCGGTGCTCGATACTACTCCCAAAAATGTACTGGCTCTTATGTTTTTAAAACATATTTATTCCTGCTGATATGAGATAATTACTCAAAAACTAGCCCGAAGGCTCTTTGGAAATCTCAGTTTTCCAACCTTGATTTAGATGCAAAGACCTTTCTTTAAAACTTCTTTGGGAATACATAGTTCCCTGATAACTTTGAGAAATGAACTCAACTTTACTCTTTACTTTACTTAAACTCTTTACTTTTGACTTGAAACTCGAAACGACGTTAAGACGTTCAATAACGACTCTTGAAAAGCTTTAAAGACTTGCTTAACTTCTAAGCTTGGTCCTAACTCCACTTGACTTCTAACTTCACTTGACTTGATCCTAACTTTCTTGAATTTAATTATGGATTCAAAGACTTGATTGGCATTTGGAAGGACCCCATGGTGTTTAGGAATGGTTTGGGAATGATTTGGGACAGCCAAACTAAAGAAAATCTTCGAACATAAATTCTGAAAACAGTGGAGTCCGCGTCCTGTCCGCGACGCGGAGAAGATTTTTGTTCACAGAGGGAACAAGTCCGCGACGCGGACATGCTCCTTGCAAGCTGCCCGACTTTCTCCTTCACGTTACCAACTCCAAACTTTCTAACTTCGAGGGTTCCAGCCCCAATCACTTAGAAACATAATATCCCTCAACATTCAATAGAATACCACTCAAAAACACAATCCAATCATGTTCCACAACCCACAATAATTCCAACAACAACAACAAACAACTTTAACAACTCTAACAACTTCAACCACAACGACTCACAACTTCAACAAACACAATCCATCTTTTCTCGAAAATAAAACGAGTTTGGCATGTGGGGGAAAGGATCACCCAACACTAAAAGCTCACATACCTTGTTAGGGATCACCCCCGACGAAAATCCACGATGATCTCCTCTTCTTCTCTCCTTCTCTTCTTCTTCTCTTCTTCTTCTCTCCTTCTTCTCTCAAAACCCTTACTCTCACTTCTTTTAAAATGGTAAAACTGATCAAAATGATCAGCCTAACACATTTATAAAACCAAAATAAAAGGCTAGGGAAAAGACCAAAATGCCCTTAATGATTCCCGGACGGATTTCCTTGTCAACTGCCCAACTTTCAAAGGTCATAACTCGCTCATACGGACTCGGAATTGAGCAAACTCAGCGGCGTTGGAAAGATCGTTCCGAGGGCTATACAACCATAACTGGAAATAATTCTAACTCATCATGAGCTAGAAGTTACGACTGATCAAAGTTGGCCAAAAACTCACCTTTTCCATACTTGGCCAAAATTTTCCAGATTTTCAAATCCTTTCCAAAAATGAAAATTTCCAATTCTAGGCCTCTTCAATTATTTCACACTGCCGGATGTTACAGATATTGACAGTGGGAAGACTAAAGAAAAGTAAAGTCTGAATTTCAACTTTTAGACAAAGATGAAGTTTTTCCAACTCCAATTAGAAAAGTCTTTTTTTTCTCTATCTTGTCTTCAAACAAATACTCATTCTATCGACAATCTTTTCCTCGAAGGAGACACCATTTTTCTAGAGATCCACTTGCATTATTTATTACTCCCTCAATTTTTATTTATATGTCGTTTTTATTAAAATTGATAATTTTTAATATTTTTACAAAATTAATGACACTATTCTTTCTATTTTATCCTTGTGAGTTATTGGCCTTGAAATAATACATTTGATTAATATAAAAAAATTAAGTAAATAATTTATGTCCATTGGTCAAATTAATTAATCAAAATAAATTAATTAATGTTCATTGATTAAAAAACATAAATAAGGATAATACACATGAAATCTAAAATGGTGACATATATATAGGAATGTAGCGAGTAATATTTCCTTTGAGTTCCACTTGCATCATTTCGAAATTAAGGAGGGTGACACCAATACTATATTTCCAAGAGTTAATATCTCAAAACTCTAGAGTTAATATTATTGTCTGAGGTTTTTTCTCACAAAAAGCAGACCCAAAGTACGTAAGATTCGAGTCTAATTTTTTATGAGACAAATAGAAACCTCACACAACTAGTCTCAATTGACTAATAAAAAGGCAGAATGACTTGAGAGATCTTTGTACTTGATTATATTTGTTAGTTGAACCTTTATACTCATGTCTTTGTCAACTAAACCCTTAAACTTACTAAAACACAATATTTTAAACACATTTAACCATTGATCGAACTTATGTGGCACTAATATTGCTGAGATGGAAAAATACTTGACTGCAGGCGCCTTAAAGCGAGTGAATATATATATTTTATATTAAAAATCATAAAAAAATAATTTAAATTAAAAAAGAGAAAAAGTCAACCCATCAACCCCCTATCCCATCCCACTCCCTCGCCAGTAACTTTCTTCTTCCTTCAGCCCCCCACCCCCACCCTCTCCTTCTTCCTTGAAACCACCCACCACTCCACCCTACCCCACCCCCTTCTTCTTCTTCTTAACACCCGCCCCCACCCCACCTAACCAAATGTCTTATTTCAACCATTTTAGTTTCTTTAATTTTGAAATTCAAAATTCTTCTCTATGAATCTTGGTCGATTTATACACTTCTAAAATCTAGGTTTTCGAATCTTGTTCGTGAAAGATTGAAGTTTAGATAATTTTTGAAATCTTGAGGAGTAATGATGGATACTGAATAGTTGAAAAACTTCATGAAGAGGCTTGAAGAATAACAAATGGGTTTTGTGAATTTATGAAATTAATTCAAAATTATGATGGAAAATTATTGGGTTTGAGTTGGTAAGCTTTTAGTGTAAAAAAATTCATGTCAATTAGGAAGAATTAGACCAATTTGACTTGAATTTAGTGCTCAATTATGAGCAAATATGAAGAACATGATACTGAAAATTTTAATGTGCAATTTTATTTTATTTTTAGCTTTTAATTTCTTATGTGGCATTTAAAATGACATGGAATTCTACGAAATGACATGGAATTCCATGTGTAAGCGGTTGTGCTACACTCACACACATAGAATAAGAAAGGGGTTTAAAGTATTACGTTTTAGTGAGTTTAAGGGTTCAATTGGCAAAGTCGTGAGTATAAGGGTCCAACTGACAAACAGAGTCAAGTATAAGGGTCTCCCAGGTCATTCTGCCTAATAAAAAATCATTAAGTAACATATATGGGAAACATTAAAAATAAAGATCAATTACACCGGAGAATTAGAGAGTATAGTTATCCATGTCAATTAGTACATCCTATTACTCCCTCTGTCCACAATTGTTTGGCAGGTATACTAAAAATAGATGTCCAAGATTAATTGTCAATTTAAACAATCAAGAAATAATTAGTCACTTTTTTCCAATTTTGCCCTTAATGATAGTGTAGTTCAATTGGAAAGTTATGTGGACTTTTGGTATTCTTGATATTGTAGGGTTATATTAATCAAATTACACTTTGTATTAAATTTTCCTTGAGGGACGTGCATGACCTTATCTTGACAAACAATTGTGGACGGAGGGAGTATTTGCTGAATATTTACCTGGCCAACTAAATATGCCAGAGAATGCTATTATACTCGATTACACCAAAACCTACTATCAAGATGACTTTACAAACAGACATTTTTTGTATGCTTAACTTCCACAAATGACAACCACCCAGAGTGGAATGAATGACCAGATATTTTTTCCACACCTATTTTGAAACAATCAACGTATGCTAGAAGTAAGAATAATCAACATATATTAGCAAAAAAATAAAATCTCTTTCCGTAAACACTTTGCACTCCTTATTTTCTCTCATTCTTGCAACTTCTCTACGTAGCATGGAAATGAAGAACAATCATTACTTTCTGCTACTCTTTTTATGCTTCAGTCTCAACAGTAATCTCTGTATCGGAAGGGACACCATTTCTGCGAATGAATCTCTTTCTTACGGTGAAACTCTAGTCTCTTCAGGTGAGATATTTGAGCTTGGTTTTTTCAGACCAGGTAACTCTCTTAAATATTATCTAGGCATATGGTACAAGAACGTTACTTTATCGCAAACAGTAATTTGGGTAGCAAATAGGGATAAACCACTTGAGTATGGTGCTGCTGAGATGAAAATTAGTCAAGGAAACCTGGTGCTTCTTGATAGATTTCAAGGCGTAGTTTGGTCGGCACTTGCTGGAAACATCAATCCAGATATTTCAGTTACTGCACTTCTTCGTGATGATGGGAATTTGATTTTGAGTGATGTGTCAAATTCATCAACACCCTTACTACTTTGGCAAAGTTTTGATCACCCAACACACACTTTTATGCCTGGTGCTAAGATTGGATATGACAAACGTACACAAAGAAAACAGGTTTTGGTATCATGGAAGAATCCGAGTGATCCAGCACCAGGATTGTATTCTATGGAAATGGACCCAAAGGATACTCAATTTGTTTTAAATGGAATAGGACTACAGAGTATTTGGCAACTGGTTCATGGGATGGCCAAATGTTCAGCTCAATGCCTGAGATAAGTTCAAACTACATGAATAATTTCAGCTATATCAACAATGAGAATGAGTCATATTTTACATATTCCCTTTACGATAGTTCAACCGTATCAATGTTCATCATGGATGTCGCTGGACAAATTAAGCAACTAACATGGTTGAATGGTAGTAGCTTTCAATGGGGTCTATTCTGGTCTCAACCAATAGAACTCTGTGAGGTTTATGCTAAATGTGGGGCATTTGGAGTTTGTAATGAAGCTAATGCACCCTGCAATTGTTTGAGTGGTTTTAAGAAAAGATCAGATACAGAATGGAATTCAAATGATTATTCCAGTGGCTGTGTAAGAGACCAAAAGGTGCAGTGTAATGCAATTACTGAAGACAAAGATAGTTTATGGATAAGTTCAATTATGAGACTACCTGCTTCTCAAAATACTTATATCACAGTTGGGACAGCCTCACAGTGTAGATCTGCATGTTTCAACAATTGCTCTTGCACTGCTTATACTTATGATGGTTCCGGTACCTGTTCCATCTGGACAGGGGATCTGTTCAATCTGGAACAACTCAGCACAACTGAATCAGAAAGGACAATATTTGTCAAACGCGGCTCACCTGAAGGTTAGAATAGCATAGTATAACATACGTTGATTCTTTATTTCATATTAGTACTATGTTATCGATAGAATTCCTTATTAACGTTAGCACTTAACAACAATGATTCTCCTTTCAGCTCAAACTAAAGCTAAGAAATCGAAGAAGCTAAAAGCAATCCTTTCGTCAATATCCACTTTGATGTTTCTACTCATAGGCAGCATTAGCTACATTTACTATAGAAGAAGAATGACAAAAAGAGCAGGTATTTGATGAATGAATGTTACTCTGGAAGATATTTTCTTTTATACCATTTTGAACTTAATTTCAAAGGTCTTTCTCAATCAGATAGAAGTAAAGGTACTCAAGGGGCACATAAATCTCACTGGCACAAAGCTGAAGGAGAAGCGAAAGTATTAATGAATGAAAACAGTGATGAAGCGATTGATGTTCCATATTTTCACTTGGAGACCATTTTAGCTGCTACAGACAACTTCTCAATTGCAAATAAGCTCGGACAAGGAGGATTTGGTCCTGTTTACAAGGTTAAAACTTCATTCCTGCATCTATGTGGAGTGGCATGGCTGCATTGACCTATAGTAACGAGATGAAATTTTTTGCAGGGAATCTTTGCGGGTGAAAAAGAAATTGCAGTAAAAACGTTATCCAGTCAATCAGGACAAGGCATAGATGAATTTAAGAATGAAGTGACTGTAATTGCAAAGCTTCAATATCGAAATCTGGTGAGGTTATTGGGCTATTGCATCAATGCAACGGAACAAATATTACTTTATGAATATATGCCGAATAAAAGTTTAGATACATTCATATTTGGTAAGTTAGCCTTATTAAGTTCTTTATTCTCAAAGTCATACATTTCTTATAATGATCAAATTTATGTTGACATGCCAAACTTTGCCATGGTAACCATGCAAGATGGAACACTTTGTCAGTTATTGGATTGGAAGAAACGTTATGACATCATATTGGGCATTGCACGGGGTCTATCTTATCTTCACCATGATTCACGACTAAGGATCATTCATAGAGATTTAAAAACCAGTAACATTTTATTAGATGAGGAGATGAACCCGAAAATTTCAGATTTTGGCTTGGCAAGGATTGTTGAAGGAAAAGTAACAGAAGCAAATACAAAGAAAATAGTAGGGACCTAGTAAGTATAATATTCCTTCCTGTCATTAATTTCTTTCAAAAGGAGCTTTGATAAAATCTTATACTCAAATGTTTTGTTCACCTGATGAAATCTAGCGGCTATATGTCTCCAGAATATGCACTAGATGGATTGTTTTCCATCAAATCAGATGTATTCAGTTTTGGAGTAGTCGTACTTGAGATAATCAGTGGAAGAAGGAATACAGGATTTTATTAGTCAGAAGAAGCCTTAAACTTGTTGGGCTATGTAAGTGAAGAAACTTCCCATGACTTAATTATTATATCTTCTTCTTAGCTTTGTCTCTCTGATATAAAAATTATCACAGGCATGGAAATTGTGGACAGAAAAGGCTGTGATACAATTAATAGAAAAGTCATCACTTGAATCATGCAAAAGAAGTGAAGCAATAAAGTGCATAAATGTTGCACTCTTGTGTGTACAAGAAGATCCAAATCATCATCCTAATATGTCAGATGTCATTGTAATGCTGGGAGGGGACGGTACTAACCTTCCAACACCTAATAGACCAGCCTTTGTAATAAGGACACATGCTACTAGTACATCTTCTTCTTCCTCCGATAAGAAATACATTGTATCCAACAATCAGGTGACGATTACAGTTGAAGAAGGACGTTAGCCGGAATAGTGAAGCCATTTAATTCGTATGGAAAAGGCTAAGGGTGGCACTAGGACTTGAAGATGAGCCATATTATACTGTTTTATCCTTGTTAACCTCTACTTTGGTCCTAAAAGTGTGCAGGGACAATTGTGCGTCGGTACTTGGCCAAATGTCCTATTCTCTATAATAGCTAGGACAATAGGTGGAAATGTTCGGAAAACTTTCAAGTGTTTGTTCTCAAAACATATACAATTTTGCTTTAGAACGTAGTAGGCCTTAGCAATCAAGTACAAGAGTAATTCGATTATCCCTGATGCCTTCAAATGTATATAATATTACAAATTCTTATCAGCAATGTAAATTTTCTTTCTTATTCAGTATGTCATTGGCCCAACCACCTCACCCAAGAGAGAGAAAAGTTTGTCCAGAATATGCATTGAGGAAAGAAACAAAGAAAGGAGTTGCAATTAAAGAATAAAACCGCAAAACAAAAGTCTGAAGTATTAATCAACAGAAGGTGCAAAAAAAAGAGTAGATAGACGTGGTTGATTCAGTATTGCATATGCTTTTTAACAAACTTGTATTACTAATAACTTTTTCTGCAGTCATGTTTGCCCGGTATGTGTAACAGATACTATAAATTAAGTTTCTTCAATGAAATTTAATCTCTTTAGTTCAAGTGATCTCTTTAGAAGATGTTGATCGGTATGTACGGCTTAACAGTCTACTTAGTTTCAAACCAGTGGCTCAGAATCATCTCCAGTCTTCATTTCGATAGAAACTAAATTTCCTTCCAATTACTTTTAATTAAAGACCTAAGAAATCACATTACAATAACTACTGCAAGTAGTGATTTGAATAGATTCTACTACAACAAGAGTTGGAGCACTTACAGTTGAGAGCAGACCGATCGGACCAAATAATTTTTGAAGAGTTCATTTTCAATCCTGCTAGCAGTAGGGTATATCCCAGTCTACAAATAACGACTTGAATTCGGATTGGAGACCCCCCACAAACAAATGGAGATCCCTACCATACCAAAACTCGCAATTGGTGATGGAAATAGCTCATTTCAATGACAAATTTTATGTTTTCCATTCTAAGTTAGAGTTTGGTCATAAATTTCTAAATATTCTTGGCAAATATTATTTGGGTGAAAATTTGAGTGAAATTTTACCATGTGTTTAGCCATAGTATTTGTAAAACATATTTCACTTTTTTTAAAAAAGATTTATATCCATAAGTTTTAAAAATTATCAAAACTAACTATAAGTTTGTATTACAAGTCAATTGAATCTTCGTTGTAACAAATAACAAGTAGTGTCCATGACACTAGAGCAATGTGATAGTTTGGAGTGAGTGCAACAAGCATCATTCCATACATCATGAAGTAGACAAAGCACATGACTTTGTTACCGTGAGCCGATTGTTCATCATTTTCATCAACAACCATATCATCATTTTCATATTCACTAAATATTTCATCACTACTTTGGTGTTCACGTAAAAAATTATGTAATACAACACAAACAACTACTATAGAGGGTGTTTTTGTAAAAGATAAAAAGTTTGGTATAAAATTTCAATTTTTAAAAGATTCCAAATAATGAGATTTGACCCAAATACTATAAAAAAATAATTAGTATTTGGAAATTTGGGATATTTGCCAAATAATGGCAAATTCTATGGATAAACACTATTTGCCAAATTTTCCCCCAAATATTACTTGGGAAATCTATGGCCAAACGGGTCCTAATTTTTTGAATGGGCTGAAGGGTCAAGGGACGCAACACGAGGAATATGCAGCACCCTATCAAATGGACTATTTGGACTGAATTTATATAAATTAAACTGGGTTGAGTTAATAAATAGGCTTAAGTCATCTACAGCCCTTCAAAGTTGTCCGCATAATTTACTTAAACATCTTAACTAGGACAAATACCTACTAAATACCTCTACTCACTCGAATTTGAACCATTTAGACACTTTTTGCACACGTGGCACAAAAAATGTGATTCACATCTTGGTGAGCGTATGAAATTAATACTCCATTGTAACATTTTCCCTTTTCCTTTTCAATCTCTTCTTTTTTCATTATTTTTTTTAACAATAACAATCTTTTTATTTTTCTCTCTTTCAAGACCATACACCTGCTGCAACCATTTTTCTTCACAAATCCATGGCCATTTTTTTCTTTACAATTTCCTGCTTTCTTCTTCTTCTTTTTTTAAATATTCTTATCATTGTCTACTTCCGTATAGAGATCACCATCCACAATCTTTTATCGGAAAAATGGAGATGTCTTATTTGCCAGAAAAAATGGAAACCATCTACATCTTCTTTGTCGGAAAAAATAAGATCATATTCGAATATTTTCTCTCTCCCTCTTCATCTCTCCCGCCGGCCGCCACACACCACCTTGACCACACCCTTTCTTCCTTACAAACCGTAGAAACAGAAAAAAACAAAAAACAAAAAACAAATTTGAAATCAAAATAAACAAAGGAAGAATGGATCTTTTAAGAAAACACTATCAATTTAAATGAAAATAAGAAAGAAGGCATAAAAAGAAATAAAAATAATAAATTCATATGTAATATATGTTAAAACCTCTAATTTTTCTAAATGGAGAATTAA